TGGAGGGGGGGGGAGAAGAAAACAAAACACACAAAGAGAAAAAACAATGCAAAGCAAGGCAACAAAAGCAAAACTAAGGGAGACATAGTTGGTTTTTTAAATGTAATGTTATAATGGTAATACAAGAAACTATTTACTTACACATTACCAGGCTTACAGAAACCTGCTAATCCCACCAATCAAAAGGCACTGTCGAAAAACACGATACCACAACAATATATCTACTGGATCTCTATTGCATACATGAAAACAGTCTTGGTGCAATGGAACTTTATTGGATTGGAAGACACTATAACTCATAACATTCTGGATGTCGCTCGCTTCCACTTAGAATCAAATCGTGCAAGGAGATCATTTGTATGAGTTTGGGTCAACTGCGGAGATTAGTGGCTCCCGTAAATCATGGACTCATACTACATATGAATATATATTATAATGAAAGCTAAACAATTAGTAACAACAGTAGAAAAGAAGTTAAGAATTCAAAATTCTGTTTTTTAGTTTTGTCTACTTTCGCTGCTGAGGCTTACACGATACTGCAGCTCATACTACATAAATATTAAAATTATAATATTATATATTATAATGACAAGCTAAACAACTTATAACAACAGTTGAAAAGAAGTTAAGAATTCAAAGTTTTGTTTTTTCAGTCTTGTCTACTTTCACTGCAGAGGCTTGCCGATACTGCAGTGACTTAATAATTCAGTCTGGAGGTGTCATCTCTGACTCAGAAGTTGACGTGTAAAGAAGACCCTCTTTCTTTCACGGTCGCGAGCTGCCGTTGCACATTCTGCCACATCCAGGCCAGGACATGTTCTTATGTTGTCCATCCTTTTTATTCTTTGCCTTCCTCTGGCTCTCCTGTCCCACATCTTTCCTTCAGCACCTCTAATAATAGTTCCCCAAAATAGAGCAGGGGACAGACAATTTGAACATCTGTTAACGCTAAAGGAAACCGAACCGACATCTTCCACACTGTGTTTGAATTTGAGTAACCGTTTTAGTTCTATGTAGTAATGTAATCTATGGCACGTTCTTACCTAGTGCACTGTTTACAGATTTTTCATGAATGTTTGAAAAGAACTCCCATTTTCCTGGTACGAATAAGTAAAAAATTCTGAGAGTGTGTTTCTACGAGCGTACACAATAGATCTCATATCAAGTTTCCTTTTATGGTGACGTTTAGAAAATAAATTTTCTCTTATTTCTTTAATGAAGCAATCGTAGATAGTTCTCTTAGTGGTTAAAGCGTCGAAAAGTGTAGAGTCAAGTCAATCAAAATACAAATGCACCATAAAAAAAAAAATAAAGTAACAGTTTTGTCGTTGTCACCATGATACATTCATGTAATTTGAGTTGTAAAGTTCGAGTTTATGCATTTTTCCTTTTCATTTGTGCTTGTTTTAACTGGTAACAATCCCAGAGAAGAGAGGTTCACAATAAGGGTTGTTTGGTTATATATTATAGTATGGTCAAGAGCAGCCAATGCAAATTTTAAATAAAGTTAATGTGTAAGGCAATGGACAAAGCGAATCTTATGAAAAGCGTAAAGTTAAGTAAAGTCTTGAAAATTGGAGATTGTGTGTAATAAAATAACGAAAGTAAGACTAGACTATATTCTTTCATCTAGAAGTAAAAGGTTTAAATGTTACGAATTTGGCAGTTAGAGCCAGTGCTTCAACAGTATTTAAAAAAGGAAGCGGTGGTTTATAGCTATAGAATAAGAAATCGCCAGATGCAGAGGGAACCGGTTTCAGCAAAAATTCACCTTTTCACCATTGTAAACCAATCATTGCCTTTTTGCATTTTCTCTAAACTTTTCAAAGGTCGGTCAAATTTTAACAACAATATGTCCATTTCTATGGGCAGCTTTATCATCACTTCAAATGCTTGAAAAAGGGTAGCGAACCCAGACGGTTGCAAAGTAGTTCAGTGAATTTATAGCATAAACAAAGCTATCTATGCTTTCAAGTCCGCTCAACATTGTCGTAGGAAAAGCATCATCCTTTAGCAAACACCCTCTTGAATTTCTGCCACAACACTCTTTTCCGTTTAGGAAAAGCCGCTGTCATCATCGCCTGATAGAAAATTTTGTCCAAACCGTCGCCGGTCCGAGCCGAACACTCAACGAACTTCTCTGCAAGAACTTCGCTAGCCAATCGTTTGCCTTCTTTGTAAGTCACGTGAGATGACGTTTGCGAAGACAGAGACAAAGAGGAGAATGTGGAGTCTCTGGAGGAGAGTCTGGGGCGTTCAGGACTATCTTCCCTCAGATCTGACTGCGTGCCAACGAGGATGATTGGAACTTTTGGTTTGAACGACTTGAGCTCCGGTAGCCACCTAGCGCGGACATTTGAGAAAGAATCCCGAGATGCAACGGAGAAGCAGACGATGAAAACGTCAGCCTCGGAGTACGTGAGTGTCCTCAGGCGATCGTACGTCTCCTGTGGGCCAGAATGCATAATATTGTGTGACATAATATCTGAATAAAAACGTACCTGTATGAGATCCATATCAGACGCGCGCATTCTCTCTCTCTCTCTCTCTCTCTCTCTCTCTTTCTCTCTCTGTCTCTCGTGCACGCGCGCACGCGCGCGCACACACACACACACACACACACACAGAGTGGTATTCGTACACTTGGGTTCGTTACATGGCTTTAATAATGTACACATAGTGTTTCAATAATAATTATAGTTCTTTCTTCAATTTGATGCTCAGATATGCACACAAAATTCTGTGCATTGTCTTTCATCCTCTTCTACGGTACGATTGAAGATAACAAAGAGGAGAAACTCCCAAATAAAGAGGTCATAGTGCTATAGTGCTCGTGGCTGCATGTGTCCGCTCTTGAAATGCTGAGAGATGCAAGAAAGAACAGCAGACGGTGAGCACTTTTCAAGACTCGCATGGAGACGCCTCGACAGTCTAGTGAGAAAACCTACAAGCTTGCACTGTTTATATACTAGAGCTCGTCAACCTCATAGTAATAATATAACCTCTTTGGAGCTCGAGGGGGACAGGGTGGGGGCTCAGATTGCTTTCGTTAACGGGGGCCTTTGAGGGGA